CGAGGTTGAACAGGTGAATGTGTCGGCTAAACCTACCAAGCTTGTGGAACGCTCTCGCTTCTCACCCGGGCGCGCCCGAGGGGTGCAGGAGCAAGAATGTCGGTGTAACAAAAAGCATGAAAAGAGCGCAGAGACAAGCAAGATAGCGGAAACCCGAGATTGAGGTGGTACATGGAGCCAAGATGCCGCTTGGGCGCAAAGGGCGAATGCAACGCGGAGATACGGGCAAGACTCCGACCCGCTTGCTTTGATTGCGCTCCAGCCTCCAGACTTGTTTTGAACTAATCATACTCTTCAATCTTGATCACAGGTATGTCTGCGTACGGCGGAGGCGCATCTCGGCCCAACAGAGCAGTCTCGGCCTCTGAGTCTGTGCCAGGCTTTTCCTGCTGTCTCTGCAGAAACAGGCGACGTGCCATGACGAGGCTAGCCGCAAGCAGTGCAAGGAGCGGGAGAAGTAGGGCATCCTTTCCAACCTGTATTTTGCCAACAAAAGCGTTCCAGGCCCTCGACAACGTGCCAATTCTACCGTACTCGTCCCATTCACGTGGGTCAAATGTTGTTTGCATCATGGCCAGCTTGCCACACTTCATCCTCGGCGGTGGCATCTTGCCCTTTGCGGAGACGACTAGTACTTCTTCGATGGAGAGGATGTGTCCACCGACCAGGTTCTCATCGTACTCCTTGCGCATCAAGACCTGCACAATCTTCTGGCCCAATTTGATTGGCTCAGCGGTCTCTCCCCAGGGCAAGCCCGTCACATTGAACTGAAGCCACCAAAGTTCAGGCTCCTCAGCGCGGAAGATGGTATGCTCGTATTGTAGGGGAAACATTATCCTGCTATGCTTCTTCGGATTTGAGGCGTCTTCGGAATCCGCATCCGTCTCTTCCTGCTCCACCTCGGTGGTGACCTGCTTCGCGTTTATGTTGAGAGGCATGGGATCGAGAGGGAATATGCGCTGGTCGTTGAGAAGTAACGCATCGTTAATCTCGGTCAAGACGAACTTAAGCAACTGGTCACGGTCAGTCGTATTCATTCTAAGGGCTGTAGAGTGCACTTACTAGAGAGTTCTTTGGTGCCGGATGCTGCCATTCTGCCTTATGGGGACTCGTCCAGGCACGCAGCGGGCATCCCACGCATTCCAGCTTCACGGTGTATTCGCGGCCAGCCTCCTCTTCAATGACTACGTCATGGTCCGATGTTGTCGGAGGAGTGATGGCTGCCGCAGCCAGTGCCGAGAGACCGAGAAGAGCAAAAGGACGCATGGTGACGTTAACTGAAGACGAAAAGGAAGAGGAAATCACAACACAGCTCAAAGAAGTGAAGTTCGCACAAGGAGGCGGGACATGGCCGACGATGCCGGGCGACGCGTAACAAGCCTCGGGCTACGGCAACGCTAGCGCAGGGATCACCAGCTTGAGCGTGGGGAATGCTCATTCTAGAAGCCGCTCTCCTACCAGGATCCTGTTCACGTCGACATCGCCGGTGTCAAACTTCACAGCTTTCGCAATCGATGACATTTTGGTTTACACACTTCTAACTCGGGTAACGATGGTCGCTGACACGTACCATTCACCACTCATTCATCATCGATTGTGATAGATGTGCAATCAGGTCGCTCTTGCAGGATAATGCGACTACCCATCACGGGGACATGCTGATGCGGAGCAGGACAATGAGACGTAATCTGGTAGTTCTGTATCATGATCTCAACACTGGTGCAATTCCTAAATACCCTGTATTCGCTGAATACATCTGTAGTGATCGATAGAACATGCGGCTACCCATCACTGCTGCACGTCTGACCGGAAGATGATCGCCTTCGAGGTGAATCGACGAAGCCCTCTATCGACACCGTGACTATCCAAGTACGCCCTCCGCTCAGACCTAGGAAAATGGCAGACCAACATACCAATGTCGCATGATGTATTAGTCATCGACGAGATTAGAGCATAGCATAGAGCCATAGAAACTTTACATTCTTCGTTCCTAGATAGGTATCAATAGGTGCAATACCACATATACGCAATAAAACGAGGCATCAAAAGAGTGTGGGATTTCGAAACGAACTGCGAAGCAATATGTACATCAAGACTACCCCCTCTTCCGTCGAAACAAACCAAAGAATCTGTCATCTTGAGGTCCTGCAAACCCACTACCTGATCCTGCCGCCTCCTCTTTCGCTCTCACTCCTTCATCCCATACCTATCTAGATCGGGGTAGCGGTACTAATATCGATCAAAGTAATCGGCTCAAGATCATTCGGCGTAGGCGCAGCAGCCACATCCCCATCGTCCGTAGTCGTGCCTGCCTCAGTAGGCAGGGTAATTAACGTGATCGGTGCAAAGTCATCGCTGGTAGTCGCCGGCGCGCTCACATCCGTGGTAGTGACGTTGGGAAAGGTTCCGTTGGCGGTGGGGAAGGCAGTGACGGTGACGGTCAGTGTGGTGGTCACGGTTATGGTATGGGTGTTGGACCAGGACTTTGTTCCCCAGTGTGCGGCGCGGGGGTGGAGGTCGGGAGTGAGGCGTTTGAGGGGCGCTACGAGGGCGAGAGAGGTGGGGATGAGAGGGAGAAGAAATAGGGACTTCATAGTGGGAATTATGGGGGGTGGAGTGAAGGATAGTGTGTTGGTTGATGAGATGATAGGACAAGATGAAGAGGGTAGGATATATAGTCTTTCGGGCCTTGTTCGAATACGTCAATCTGAAGCTGGATATATGGAGGCTGATATCTTGACGCGTAAACTCGCAGATATCTCACACGTTCTGCAAGCTACGGAGTACACTGAGCATGTGCCTGTCAGACGCCTTCCGCTGCTTCAAGCAAGTCGCTGTACGCATATCCAGTGATATCCATCAACTGCTCGTAAGACCACGTGTCGTAGCAAGCCACATATTCAGAAAGGAGCCCACACTACACAGGCACCTTATCCTCATGACTAGATGTCTCTTGCAGCAATGCTCGAGCTGATGGAGCCGCCAAGACTACGCGTACTAGATGAGCGTCGGACTTCGCGTAGACTGAGTCTTACGGGCGCAGTGTTCACTCCCGTGTCCCTATCTACGAGAACGCATAAGCGGACCTTTTGCGAAGTCCGTACCCGTGTTACTGAAGCTCCTGCTGACATGGAGGGCGCAAACATACGGCCGTGAAAACAGGTGGACTGTCGCCAGAGGACTTTGGCGCGAGCGCACTCGCTCTAGATAATGCGGTGGGACATGCACGCCTCTCCAGAAAATGACTCGCCATGGACTGAATGGATGCCAGTGGATTTGATCGTGATTGCCGATGGACGAGCGATGCAGGACAAAGTTGAAAGGTGCCCAGGTGAGGAGGCTGGCACGTGGCTGGGCTCGGGCGGATCTGCCCCACTGTGCGTATGATGTCATCAAGTTCTTCCATCCGCTCTCCATCATCTCGGCCCCTTCTTTCACACTTGGACAGTCGCGACAACGCGCAGAACTGGCTCAACCCGCATCATCTTTCAGATTCATATACGATTAGATACTAATAATATCACCACCTGTGGACAGACGACGCCCTCATACAATGCCTCAATATCTGCATCATGTTCCCTATATCCCTGACCACCATGGCGCACATTCGGCAAGGCTGGAAAGCGGCGTGGTTGCGGCGGTGTAACAGGACTCAGTGAGTGCCGCGCACCCATTGGACACTGTTAAGAAGATGACGCATATGAAGAGAACTATTGGTGCCCGCTCGTGTTCCAAGTTGAGATGCCAATTTTCATACCTCATGCCCGCCACGACTGGGACTCGAGATTCCACGCACTCTGGCACCGCTTGCAACATTCTGTCTGGCTATCATGTTCTGGCACGAGAATGGTATACCTTCAGCGGTGGAGCGTACAAAGACGAGCTTCCAGTCTCGCCACGATGGTGTAGCTTTTCGTAAGCCGAAGGAGATGTTCCTGGTAAACTTACTTTCCCTTCGCTCTTCTTTGGGAGCCACTAACATCTTATAGCGTATACGATGCGAGAGCTACACATATGAACCTCTGCCCATGCCCTCAAGCATCCGCGTTCTTCAGATAGACCCGGGAGCGTCTTCCGATCCGATCACTTGCCACTTCCGTGTTGTAAACCTGGAGGAATCCCCAAGTTTTACCGCCCTCTCATATTCATGGCAGAAAGACACTTCTTTGCTGCAAACCAATCTCTGTCGAAAAGGGGTCATATTAGACCCAACTTTCGGTTTTTATCAGGGACTCGTCAAGGGGCTCCTGGGATTTAACACCGGCGTCGACGATATCTGGCAAAACACAGTGCGAAAAACCGAACATGTATGGGAAAAGTACACCAGGGGCAACGCAGGAGACGCGAAACCTATATTTTGTGACGGGAAAAAGATGATGATACAGGCCAATCTTTACGAAGCCATGGTTCGCTTGCGGCGTTTGCGACCCACCAACTACTGGATTGACGCCGTCTGCATCAACCAGCGGGATCTTCGCGAGCGAAGTCAGCAAGTCCAAATGATGGGGAGAATCTATGGTTGCGCAGAGGAAGTGGTGGTCTGGCTTGGTAACATGACGAGCCTTGCGGCCCATCCCTTCCAGACCTTGTTCTCGCTATTTGGGCCAAAAGTGGATGAGAGAAATGCCGTGACAGGAAACCCAACTGAAGGCGAAGAAATTCGCAATGATTCAGCTGTGGTAGTAACCGATGAAGAGCTGGACACGGTGGCCAAAGAGTATGGCTTAAGTAGGGACGGACTCGAGTCCATACTCAGAGTGACAGCCTTTGTGCTCCTCACTCGTCGCTGGTTTCGTCGCCTGTGGGTCGTTCAGGAGTCACGTCAAGCTCGTCAAACTTTGTTCTTGTTTGGCGAGTCGCAATTCGGCGCTAATCTGATTTTATCAGTGCTGAGATGGGTTGAAAATGACATCAAAAGTTCGCGGGACGGAGAAGGCATACTTGCGCTATTTGACGTGGTTTCATCTATATGGAATGTCCATGTCAAGCATATTCCAGCGATGCTAGAGTCCATGGGTCCATCCCATGGCGGAGAGATGTGGACCTTGCAGCAGTGGCTGTGGATGACAAAAAGCCGAAAGGCGAGTGATGCCAAAGATGTGGTATTCGCAGGTCTATCCCTCATACGACCCGAACATCTGGTCATTGATGATTCACTCCAGGCTCAAGACAATGTGCCACATGCCCACCATCCCAAGGAACAAGTGTATACTCCATTACCAAAAAGGCGTAACAAGCTATGGGGTGTGCTACACGCCGACTATAACGCCGAGACCTCGACTGTACTCTTGAATCTCGCGGCTTGTATCCTTTCCCATTATGATCTCCATATCTTATTCGACATTACGTTACGGTTTCGACGTCGCCCTCCATACTCAGCGCTTACCGAGCTGCCTGTCACTTCATTCCCATCGTGGGTACCGGATCCGACGGCATGGACCTCAAGGGCTATGGAACCTGTGATATCGCTCAACAACCCTGGTTGCCCATACCCGCTTTCTGTGCACATGTCGAACTCTAAGCCACAGATATCGCTTGATGGCACCAAATTGGCCGTAACAGCTGCTCTTTTGGACACCATATCTTCTTCCTCTCCAATTCTTGACGTCGTGCTCAACATCAAAGATTGTGCGGGCGCTATCAGATTACTGAACTGGATAGCTGAGAAGGTTCCCCGTGTGTGTCATCGAACCGGATGTTCAGGAATAGAGGTCCTGGCACGCCTGATCTCATCAGCTTACAGAAACCAGAAAGACCCTGAGAGACAATGTAAAGATAAGACTATGGAGGAGAGAGAATTCTGCGTGTTACTTCATGACTTCTGTGAAGTTTCGTTAGGAGATGGACTTAAAGCTTGGAACGAGGCACTCGACCTTCTGCCAACATGGTTGAAATCATATCCTTGGCCTTCAGGCTGGGCTATCGATTACGAGGGTGTGTCCAGAGCCTACGCCAAAGTCAGAGCAGCTCATCCAGACGCTCCTTGGCCACCGAGCAATCTTGCGGGTTCAGAAAGGAACGAAGCCATCGATAAGGCAAGAGAGATCCATCCTGACACCCTGACAGGGGTCTCCGAGACCAACATAACCAAACACGAAAGTATCTGCCTCGATGCACAAAGCGAGTCAGTACGAGACACTGGCGATGCTGCGAGTACTCGTGAATCTCCCCAGGAGTCATACTCGGAGTGGGAAGTGCTAAACTCCAACTCCGGAATAGGATTACAGAGCCTATTCGTTACCAAAGAGGGTTATCTTGGCATCGGTCCAAATTGGCTGAGGAGCGGCGATGGGGTCTTCTTAGTAGCAGACGCTAAAGCCCCATACATACTCGCCCAGGTGGACGATGTCTTGCGAAGGCAAGCGCGCGAGATACGTGAACAGCTTGACACGGGCATGAGCAGATCCGTGAAGCTGACAAGGAAACAACGCAAGAGTTTGCGGAAACAGCTGCTTGAAATTGAGGGCAGGCTCGGAGGAGAGAACGCATGGCAGCTAATTGGAGAAGCGTATGTGGAAGGTGTAATGAATGGCGAGGCTGCTGGACTTGCGGAAGCTAGGGCACAAAGGTACAATATTGCGTAGACATGGAGACGCGATTATGTTTCGCTACATGTAATTGAACGAATGTTTCGAGAATCTTTGGTCCAGCTCGAGCAAAATGAGTTGCCCGTTGCGTGCTTTATTGCGAGTCAGTGGACTGGCTCTAAAGAAGTAACGAACAGACCTACATTGCTATTGCAACACCAGTGGTCAGATGCCGCAGCCTACCTCACTTTTCATCGAACTACACCTGCCTTCTTCCACGTTCTTCAATGTGCAACCGCAATGGTGATATGGTCATGCAGAACTATCAGTATTCACTGACTTATGGAAGAGGCCTCAAACTAATCGTGATAGCGCGGCCTGATGGAAGTGTCCAACGCAGAAGTGGCGTACTTATACCGGCAACATCTGGATGTGTGAAGTCGGTCTGTTTACCTATCATTGAAGCAGTTTTATGGCCTCCGGAAGTCTTCGTTCAGACTCAGAAGGCCGCGACTGATCGCACCGCCAACAATAACAGTGGAGCCGGATGTGTCCACAGGACGGACCGAACGGCGCATGTACGCGTTGCAAGACAGGAATCCTCGACGGCACAAGATTTCGTGAAGCAAGGTATCTTCACAAGTGCCTGATATCTGTTTGTCAGAGCCTTACCCGCGACAATAGCTGGGCACACCTGTAGGGCGTACATTCACGAGGCTCTCGCTGGTACTATGGAATACACACCGGAATCATCACTCATGTCGATTGGGGTCATCTGCATGCTCATCTTCTTCAATGGTGTTGTCATACTGCTGCGTTTGCGACGTACTTCGTTCATATAAGAACAGCTCCGGCAGGTTGTTTCTCTTTCCAGGATAAGTTCCACTATTTACAAAAGAATCATTCATTATATCTATAACTAACAAATAGTTACCATGTCTACATCTTCGAATCCAGATCTCGACCATGTCGATAACACCACACATGGACCTGTCCGACCAGCTAAGTCCGATGGACCTGATTCAGAACGTTCTGTGAACGCGATCCCGGTCATGGACCCCTCACACCCGGATTACCCTCCGCTTCGTCACACCCCGGATTATTCTCCACAGCCTCATGTGAGCCTCGCAAGTGCAGACGCAGATGAATCTGTGGTTCGGAAAGGGCATCCGGCTGACACGGTGCCTGCTGGTCAGCTACATGGCGACACTGCACCGCAGACGGCTGACTACAAGATAATCAAATTGAATCCCCCTAAGGAAGCCGAAAACGTCGAGAAAGCCCCGGAACCCGACAACTCCGATGACTCGGATGAAGGCGCCGATTGGGATAAGAAATTCCCAGCTGGCATCCCACGGCTGGCTGAATACATGGCTCGCGTGCCTGAGCGGGCTATTTTCCGTACCTTCCGAACGCTCGGCGTGCAGAATCTCCTCTTCATGCAAGCAGAGATCGACTATCTGGAGTGGAAGCTTCATAATGTGATGACCAATTTCAGAGAGGGAAAAGGCGGCATCACCAAAGAATATGCAACAGATTGGGCTTGGAATACAATGGAGGATTCCGCCAAACCACAGCCCAAGCAGTACCATTTCATCATGCAGATTCGTGAGAAGCTTGAGAAATACGGTAAACTTATCATTCAATCTGTGTGACTATGGCGCTAACCCACGTATAGAAGAAGCACTTCTGCGACAACATATGCTCGCCAAGATCGCAGCGCCTGATCATTTTGATCTCGACCAGATTAAATCCTACAACGTGTCTCGCGCTACACGCGATAACTGGATTTTTCACCACAAACCTCTTTATGGCCTTCCTGAAGACTGTGTCAAATATGATCGGTTCCATGGACATGTAGCTACGGACCTGATCTCACTCAAGTCCCGCGAATTCAGCGACTACTTTACTTTGTGGGTCTGCGAGCGGTCACTTACCATAATCAGAATTTTTGGGAGATTCTTGGAAAAGTCTAAGTTCGGTGGCAGTCCAGTAATTTACGACAGCACTCTCAGAGAGTGCACCCATGTCTTCACGGCAGTGCTTGCGAGTCTAGTGCCTGTCGCTGTTGCATACATCTCTCAACAGGAAAGAGACATGTCCCAAATTGTGGTCATGGCGTCGACAAACCTTCTGTTATCGGGCTGTATGGTCTACTTTGCGGACGCGGAAAGAGTATATCTCTTCCTGGCTGGTATATTGTAAGTATTCTGCGAAAGACTTAAATAAAGTTAACTGACTGTCGCACAGGTTCTCCATATTCCAGTTGTTGATGACTTCTAAACAGTAGTCAAAGGTGGAGGAGTTGGCGTCTTGTAAGCATGTCTGGATGAAGGCCAGCTGGGCTGATAGCGTTACACGGTTATATCTATATTGTCACTGCAAGGCGCGCTAGGAACTGCAAGTCTTCCCTTCGTAATTAGCAAACTCAATAGCTCAATGTCATTTATGTCTTCTGCGATCTTCTTAGGTCACATCCAACAAGCATAAGCTACGTCATTACCCTTCTCCACAGGTCTCTACTAGTCTGTGGGAATTCCACGCTCTTCACTCCGGGTTGCGCAAGTTTGCGTCGGATCCACTTCATACCCTCTCATTCTTTCCAAAGCTGACTGCAACTTCTCACACCACCGCGATGGCGGCTCTACACTCCAACGCTTAGAGATACACGACCAATTCCGCTACGATCAATCAACATGGAAACAACGCCATTGGCCTGCGCCCAATTCATACGCCGCTGCTTGAAGCCGTGTACCGAGCGCAACCCACCACAAGAAGCCCACTGTCCGATATGCACAGAAGAATACGATCGCAGCACTCACAAAGCAATACGCGTCGTTATCCAGTCACCCGCCCAGTGCAACCACGAGTTCTGTCAAGCCTGCCTCGAGAAGATCTTCGCCCGTCGCAAGACCCAAGACAACACCAACCTCTGTCCGCTGTGTCGCGCCGTATGGTTCAAAGCCGAATACGAAAGCCTTTCGGCGCGCAGTCGGCGTTTGACAGAAGAGGCCACAGAGGTTCTTAGAGCTGGCAACTCCGCGCCTTCCCTCTTCGCGGGCGTGCCCGAAGGCCCTGCGGGCGAAACCATGTCAGATTCTACTAGGAGAGATACGGATCCAGTGCCACAGCCTATGCGTACACCCCGACCGTATGCGCGAGCCCGTCAGCCCCGTCCGTCTACGACTGAGTCATCTGCTGGATCCAGAGACACTCGCTACAGCGGAGACTGGCGCACTGAGCCTGTCTTCACACATCGTGAGTTCCACGCTGCACTCGCCGCAGGACAAGCAGCAGCCGGACAACCAGAGCCACCAGCTACAACTTCAGTACCTCACACATCCTCTCATCCCCCTCGTTCAACCCCCCAACCATTCCAGTTCGGCCAGCAACCCACCCCATACTCAGCGCTTCCACAGAGAGCACAATTCAACTATCCCCCGGACGATTCAAACTCCACAAACTCCACACGCCAAGGCGAACAGAACAGAGCAGCGCCACCACAAGCTTTCCAGTCGCTCGAGTTCCAACGGCGTTCAGCCGACCTGGATGCTCGCGAAGCCCGTCTGACGCGACGTGAAGGGGAGCTGAGAAGGATGCGTCAAGCGTTGGAGCGGCGGGAGCAGGATTTTAATGTTTTTTGTGAGAGAGGTAGACAGCTTTTTCGTGGAAGGGATGGGGGGGTTTGAGAGATGAGGGGGACTGATGGATATGAGAGGATGGGGTTGTACAGTCTGCGTTTATGGGCTCGTGAGGTTGAACCTGCTTGGTTCATGAAGCTTTTGTGCGATTGGGTTTTGTCATCAACGCAAGATATCACTGTCCAAGGGAAGCGCAAACGACGGATAAGTTCCTCTGGAGTCATTGACGTTCTAGAGATCGGCTGGATGGGAACAGGATGCACATATTCAGCGGTAACCACAGTTGTAATTACAATGGGTTTGTTACTTTAGGCCACTGGCATTTGTTAACAAGTACAGCAAGGAGCGCTTTCACAATGGGATCGTTTGACAAACAAATGGTCACACCTTGATATTATGAGAAGATAGCAACTTTCAATCTTAGTCCATGAATTTCTCCATTCGCATGATATGCGATGTCGACCCCGAATACAGGGAGAAGACAGATTTCGCAATCATGATTAGCTCGCGATTCCATCAATTCTTGCCTAAACTCTTGCCCTTCTACATCCTCCTGAAATTAGCGGTAAATTGCATCATCTCAACCTGCAGTACGTTCCTCTCCCTTTCAGCGCGCAGAATATCCCTTTGCTGCTCCTCCTGCTTGCGTTCGAAATTGACACACAGAAGCTCATTGAGATAACGGCTTTCATTCCAGAGACGAGTCAGTGTTTGCCTGAGGGCGCGGTCTTCATCCTGAATAGTCGGATCAGTGCGTACGACTTGAAGAGCCAGGCCTATGTGCCCCCCACCCTCAAGTGGGGGAATCACGATAGTTTCGATGTTTTGCAAAATATTGCTGACTTCGGTTAAGTTTGCCCAGTGCCTATCGCGTTGTTCACGCTGTTGCGGACTGAGGACTTGTTCAGCTTCTTCCTCTTCCCATTCCCATTCCCATTCCTCTTCTTCCTCTTCTTCTTCATCTTCATCTTCATGTTCTTCTTCATTTTCTTCTTCTTGTTCTTCTTCTTGTTCTTCTTCTTGTTCTTCTTCGAGTTCTTCTCCAAATGCTGCTTCAAGTCTTGCTTCAAGTTCTGCTTCAAGTTCTTCTTCTTCTTCGTCGTAGAAGACTTCATACACATGTTCTTCTTCGTCTTCGGCGCCTGGCTGCGATGGGGGTAGTCCACCAAGCGCGCCACGTATGCATTGCCGACAAATAGGACAGTAATGGGCCTTTTGCATACCGCTATTGACCCAACATTGTAAGCAGTCTCGGCCGAAAACGTGACTGCAATGTGTGCCTAGAAGCTTGATAGCTACATGCTGATCCTCGTCATAGTCCCCCTGGCAAATAGGGCATTCTGAATCGTGAAGTGTTTCGGAGGCGGACAACACTATGTATCGCTCGATCGTAGCCGGGGGAGGCGCGTTGATCTCAGTCCATATCGATCTCAACTGTGTCATGGCATCAACTATGTGTTCGAACATCCACATCTCGCAACTCTGTGAGCCATCCTGGGACGGCTGGGATGTATGATCGTCGTTCTGCTGATGAGACATCTCGGTACCCATGATGGATTCTGTGCGAGTTATGAATAAGTGCTTGAAGGTTGTTGTCGAGCTATGTTAGTGTGGAGAAGAGGTACTGCAGTGCTTGGTACAGTTCTTATAATGCTTCACCGTGCATGAAGCACCCACAGGCTCAAAGTCGACAACACTGTCCAAAACTCGAACCCATTGTGAACCTACCGACTCAGGAGTGAAAGCCTGTTAGGCGTCTCTTTCCCTCGTCCAGCTGGTGTTGACAGTGTTGAGACGGCAGGAGCGATGAGACGAGGCTCTATGGAGTCGCGCAACTTCGCAATGATTTCGTTATGCGAGTAAAAGCATCTGCTACATCGAAAGCGGAGCGATAAATTGTTGCCGTCAATGGCGACATGATCAGGAATTCCCTTGCACGGCGGATATGTTATGGCAGTGTAGATGGCGCTCGCGACTGACCTCGGAACACCTGCTAGTTTTTCAAGCTATCACAGAATTGGGTTAGCGCAGTCGCTTCAAGTGCATCCCTGCGGACAAAATGTCGATCACGTTCAACTTTTGGCATTTGTCGAGGTGAAGAGCAGCGGAACACATCGACATTGAAGCCGCAATTGGGATTTATCACGACTCCAACTTAGACGTCCTCGCTCATTCAGTTCCGAAGATGGCCGACTCAGCAAACAACTCAAACGTTGCATCTACCACACAGGCAGAGTCGTCCACCTCATCGTCACAAACACCCAACACACAGCCAGAGTCTGCATCCTCATCATCATCCGCACCGCCTCAGGCGTGCGCGCAATGCGGGAAGTCTCCGGATACGCTCAAGCAGTGCATCAAGTGCCACAGTGTAACGTACTGCAACAAGGACTGCCAGAAGGCGCACTACAAGGCGCACAAGAAAGCATGTCCTATGCTTGCGCAGGAGTACGTGAAACTGCACGAGCCGAAGATGGCATCGAAATCCAGTTCAAGTGCGCCAGGAGCAAGGGACAAGGGACTGCAGAAGTGGCAGGTATGTTGTATTTCTCACTCTGATGTTAAGTTGGTGCTAATGTCGATAGTTTGATACTTGAGTGTACGTAAAGGCGAAGGTAGCGCGGCGGTTGACCGAGGAAGTGTCTCGATGGAATAAAGCTAGACGGGCGTGGAGCTAAAGTGAAGGTACTTGGAAACAAGCCAAAGCAACAAGACCCCAGAGCTCAAGATGGGCTGTCGTAGTTCGCAGGCACAAAAGCTTGGTATGGATGATATTTACGTTTCTGCAGCTGGTTCTTGGTCGCAGACAATGAGCAAGGCCTCTCGTCGGACGGACCTTGTAAGCAGAGTCTGACATCTGACAGTCAATGCACGAGTGGATCGGTCGCAGAATTGATAGCGAAGTTTTACGTTTGTAAACTATGGAATAAACCCTGAGCTCGGTAGTGGCGAGATGAAAATGCGCGCGCCGGCAAGTCCCGTGACAAGCACATGGCGCTGATCATTAACCTAAGCTGCATCCAGCTAAAAAGAAGTTTTCACGGTTTTCGATTGCTGACAATCAAGAATCCGCTGGCCAAAAGAGACATCTCGATGGGAAGCCTAGACTCGCATGGCCCTTCGCCTTGTAGGGCAAAGCGTGTCGCGGCAGCTGAGTGTGGCTGCACTGTGTGACTGCGGGTAGATAGCTTGGAGGCTTGCCAGACCCATGCCAAAGACGCGCTGTAAGCTCGCACCAAAACGTTGGTGAGGGTAGGTGACTGTGGAGCGAATTGAAAACTTGTGCGTTTTGGCCATGAGCTGTGCAGAGACTGGCTGCGTTCTGGTAGGCGATTGGCAGGGTGCGGCGCCGTACTGCGTACTCGTGTACGCTGGCTCCCCACGGGAGCCCTATGGGTGTGCGTTCAATTCGTATCAAACAGCTTCAGGACTAGCCCGGCTTGTCGTGCAGCAGGGCATCGACCCACCGAACAGTCGGCGCTGCAAAGAACCAAACAACGGCAGCGTGAGGAGCGATGGATGGGCATGCTGGTGATGGAGCTAGGCTGCCATGTGTGCAGGGAGCAGCGGGTGCGGTCAGGCCATTTCGCTGGTGTGAATTGCTGTGGCCGCGAGGTCTAGATTTCAGCTGCTGAGACCCTGGGCCTCCAAAACACGCTAGCATCAACCGCAGCGAACATCGGGTATTCACTCCGCAAACCCAACCTAGCCCACCTGGCCCTCGCACCGCGTTGGCCTGGTCGCTCTGCTGTTACATGACTGTCTTGGACGCAGCGACCGTCTTCCCCAGGCGACCATCCACTCGTTTACCGCCAGCCCCTTCCACCTGTCAATACTTCCCACGCGGCCGTTACTGCCGCCGCGGCGCTACCGCGTTTGTACCTGGACGCCAGATCTTTCAGCCACGTCTCCGTGCGTCTGTTCATCCCACTTACCCAGCATAGCGTGATTGTGCGCGTTACCGGCAAACATCTCAGACCCCGTTGGTCATGATGACGGGCTTCCAGTCCTCGTCACATCTTCTACAGCCATCTGACGCTGATAATGCCCCTCCTCGCTTTCACCAAGACTCCCACCAAGCGCTCCAGCCCAACTCCATCCCACCCACTCCGGATGAGGGCATAGATGCGGGTCCCTGCCCCGAAATAGCGGTTCCCAACGATATCTCTTCGATTCTCGACGCTTCTCTGCCGCAGCCTTTCCCGCTGGCTTCCGCCTTACCCCAGCCTCTTAGGACTCCCACCATCGAGGACCGGCCGCAGCTTGATCTGACCCTCAACCTTCCTCAAAGCAACTTCTCGCTTCCCACGTCCACGGTCCTTAGGAGTACGCACAACCTGCGTCTACCCTCGTTTGATGTACTAGGCATTGCTGCGCCCCACCCTGATCGTATCCCACAGCAAACACACCACTCCTTCTCTCCACTAGGCGCTGGACCTCTGTCGAAGCCAGAAGACCCTCTCCATGCGCTCAGCCCACCACTCGACTTCTTCAGCCACGCCAACGGGGCCAGTCATACCCCCGTTACCAGTCCCAAGGAAGCTAGAGCCCGCGTCGGACATCTTGTGTCCACTCACACGCCTCCCTCGGATACGGAGCCGGGGACGATCAGTTGGGGATCCTTTGTGAACCCACGCACGGTTGGGCTGGGTTCGCCTCCAAATTCTGAGCCAGGGGTGTCACCAAATCTGAACATCACTGCCAGCGCCACAGCTCCCAGTCAAGCGCCCATCATCGTACCGACCCACGAAGAGTTCAACGACGAGTTCAGCGACGCGCTGAGGATGGCAGCGTGGATAGAAGAGGCAAAAAGCACCATCAGTGAGTACTTCCTGCACCAGAATGACGCATAGTTCCGTTCGCTAATTAGCTTAGTAAACGAATCTGGATGTCTGGAGTTGGACTCGGTCAAGATTCTGTCCCACGCCTTGCCTTGTCCGTCAACATCAGGCCACATCTTCGGCCAGGTCATCGCTTCTATTCATGACAGATCGTCAACGCAAACCTCGTGGATCAATGTATTCCACGCCCTTCCTGGTCGTTACACGCTCATGGATCTGCCAAAGTCTCCTCCATCGACGCCTGGTCCTGCTGTCGGGGGAGATTCCTACTTTACCAGTAAAGTCTTTGACAGCGCGGTCGCTATTCCAGACTACCAACTGGATTCGAAACTCCTGCCCCCATCGCCTCGGCCCGTCGTGCCACCGGGTAGCATCAATGTTTCGATTGTGGAGCGATACATTCCGCCTACGAACACTAATGAGTTCGCTGAGATGTTCACGTTTCGGGGTAGATCTTTGCTGTACGATCGCCTAATCGAGCTTTCTAGCGATGACGGCGTCCTTCTATTCATCTATCCGACCAGGACAGGTGCGAGGACCTTTACGCAGCAGTACCTCGGACCAATTCTCGACCCACTCTTACGCACCGTAACGGTAGTCCACGATCTCCACTCCGAGCTAGGGAGGAACCTGGGTCAAATGAGTTCAGTCAATTACCTAGACGAGTACAGCCACTTGGAGGCGCAAGTCCGGAAATTCTGTGGAGCAATGGGTGAACGGCACAACAACGAGAGAAGAGCAAACTATGAAGTCATCCACGCCGCAAAAGAGGAGATTCTGATGCAACGGTCAGCTTGGGCGGACGATTGGTGGATCAAGCAAGAGAAACCCCGTATACGGGAGATAATCACCAAGTACTTCAGCAAGTCGAAAAAGCTCCCGAGCTCTGAGATGAGCGCTGCAACTCTGATTCAGGCTGTCCTCGAGGGCGTATCGGAACGGGACTACCATAACGGTGAGCCCACGAAGGGTGTGGAAGTTGGTGTCTTCATCGTGAAGAAGACGAAGGCGGTGGCGAAAGCCCAGAGGGAACCATGATGAAGTATCACGCTTTAGATGAGGGGACTGAGGATCGAGCGCGAGGCAACGAAGTTACGGGTGAAACGACGATCATGATCTCCAGTTGCGATGATCTTAGATTTTCGCATAGCATTGCGCGGCGTTAGCGGCATGAAACGAGCGAGCCCTGTCTGGAACAGTACAAAAGATAGCGAGTGATTATAGTAATAATACCCAGTAACGATCTCCAAATTCGTGCATCCAATCTGTGTACCGTGTGATCGCGTTACTTACTATCACATTGGCAAGTTTACCCTCGCTCTGCCAAGCCGCTAGCGCGAAAAACTGCCCTTTGCTCACCTTGCGAGTCTCACGCTGGGCTCGCGCATCATGTAGACGGAACTTCCAAGCACCTGAGTTGTGCACACCGCTTCGAATACTAGACGCGCTTCTTCATCGTTAGAAGCTTGCGAGCAGATCACGGTCGCTCATCACAGGTACGCGCTCCCGAGGTCCTTTTCACGTGTTGCGATGGCGCTAGCCACTTTCGTCGGTCGTAGTCAAGATGAGGGTACAAGAAGAGCGGAAGTGACTTTACATTGGTCTTTTGCACAATCTGCTTGGATTTAGTTTCATCTTCATCTAGTGTTGCGACGACGGCGCGTTTATGTGTCTTTACAAGACTAATTTGAGTTTAGTATACGGGGAAAGCACGTCGCTCCAAGTCTAGGACCTGTTACACAGCGCAAGCTCGTGGCCATCGGACGACTTCAACTCCAGTCTCTTGACAAAGAAGTCTGCGCTAGCGCTACGAGATTAGCAGGATGCATGTAAGTAACATCCTCCAAAACTCAATCCTCATATCCTCCCTTCAACC